AGCCAAACACACTTTGTAATTGGAATTCAATTCCAATTACAAAGGAATGCAGCCAAATACATCACAACAAACACGCCCTTAGAGTATTACAATCAATGGCTTAATTACAACCACTAGTTATGTTGTATTTCTTTTTACATGCATATGTTGTTGTGGTTTGAATGTTTGATTTGAGTCTTGATTTCAGGTCATTGATTTTGTTTTATGTTGCATCTTTAGGCATGTGTCATTTATTATATATTCTGTATTAGACACCTGAACTACTACTGGAATGAAAGAGTACTTTTGAAGAAGGCTTTGTTAAGATTATATTTTTTGTTCATACTTATAGCAAAACACAACTCTATTGACATGTCCATTGTTTTTTCAACGAAGCTTTCAGTTAGAGATTAGTAGATTAGACATTAGAACTTTTTGTTATTCTTTCTGTATTGTCATGATTATTGTCTGCATACGATGATTAGAACCTAATTTCATTTCTTCATTAAAGTATTAAACAACAAAAGGATTAAATTTCACATATATGAAATTTTGGTTTTGAACACCTATAGTCCACTTCAAACCATGGTAGCTTAATCATTTATAATTGATTTGGTAAGTTTCAAAATTTATAAACTTACAATAATGTTTTCTGCAACATTCTTGAAAAAATTCTTTCCTTCTCAGTATACCTTATTTTTGCACAAATTTACCTTAAAGTTTTTTTTATTCCTTCTCAATATACTTCATGAATAGAAACATTATTTGACTGAATGTTTAATTAAATTGTTCAAAATTTAATTAGTTTTAGTGTACAGTTGATAGGGACTTTTAACAGAAATTAGGTAATTCATATTTTTATTCATTTGGTTCGGTACATTCCTTAATTTTGTAATTATTATTAGTGTTGATATATTTATGTTGTTTTATTTAAAAAAAAACATTTATTGATTATTCATATCGTTTTAAAGTAAATGTATTTTCTTATATACTTGTGAGTTGTGATTAATTCTACTTTTTCACTATATTTATAAATGTTGTAGGGTGTCTGCAATGGAAATGGAGAGGGATACAAGACCTTGGAGGACTCGTAGAGGTTTTTCATTTGATGATGGAGTTTACTCCCATGTGAAACAAGTACATGGTCATTTAGGAGAGTCTTTAAAAGTGATTTATGGCATCGAGTTTGAATATATTAAAATCAATGGTCAATTCATCTCGTCCACAATTCATGGTAATCACAGAAAAAATCACACTATATTATAAAGGAAGCATTTTTCCTTTTCACCACATTCATTTGAAACTCCCATGTATTTTTCCTTTCACCACATTCATTTGAAACTCACATAACTTTTCAATTTCTTTCTAATAATAATTATAAGTTGGTTAATAAGGATAAATAAATATCAAACCTAAAGTGTAATCATATATAAACTAAATTTTAATATTAAAATAACATCTTTACTTCTACTTATTAAGTATTTTTTTTAACTTTTAACATATTATACTTAATTTATTAGTTTTAATATATTGTTGGATGTAAACCATTAACATTTTAAAGATACAATTTTGGAACAATTTGTATAAAATACTTAAATTATTAATTTGAATATTGTATTACAGGGTCAACTTAAATATAAATTTTAGTTTAAATTACACAACCCAAAGAATATTTTGTAAATAGTTAAAAGTGATTAATTGTAGTGTTTTCTAATAATGATTATAAGTTGGTTAATAAGGTTAAATAAATATCAAACCTAAAGTGTAATCATAAATATACTAAATTTCAATTTTAAAATAATATGTTTACTTCTGTATATAAAGTTATGTCTTTAACTTTTAACATATTATACTTAATTTATAAGATTTAATATGTTGTTGTATGTAAACCATTATCAGTTTAAAGCTACAAATTTTGAACAGTTTGGACAAAATACTTAAA